CCCCCCCCCCCCCCCGGCACTCTCCTGCCCAGACTGTCAGCTGTGCCAGGCCATTGCCCGCTTGGAGTTCCTGGCAGTGCTGGCTCACTCGCTGCGCAGTGCGGGGGCGAACCGCAGGGATCAGACCAGGCTCTTGTGCAGCTTTTGTACTTGAAGGTTAAATTGTTTCCAGGGGGCCAGGCCGGAGCTGCCTCCCCTTGCTGGGCTGGGCAACTGCCCCAGGTGGGGTGGCGGGAGGGGGTACTGCCTGGGGTGGCTGGGGTTCAAGGGTTCCATCCCCTGCTCTGGGAAGGGGGGGTTTTGTGGGATTAGAGCAGAGTGGGGGAGCGGTCCTCAGGGCTCTTCAGTTCTGTTTCCAGGAGTAGGGGATGCCTACTGGTTAGAGTGGGCTGGGGCCAGGTTGGTTTTGGGGTTGTCTGTGTTTTGGGGGAGGGGTATGAGTGAGCTCTATCAGGGAGCTTATATAATGTTCTGGAGGCTCAGGGGTTCTTGGGGGCCCAAGCCTAGCTCCCATCACTGACTCTTACTGTGCCTCAGTTTCCTGGTGAACACAGCGTGGAAAGGTTGCACCTCGGCCAGGGCTCTGGGCTTATCACTAGGCAGCTAAGTGGCTCTACAGCTCAATTCTCCATCCCCTTCTCTGCCCCCTGAGCAGCACGGCCCTTGGTACATCCCTCTTCAGCCTGCAGTGCCCTGATCCCTGCCCCATCCCTCCTTCCCATTAGCCCTGCCTAGTTGGTATGGTGCCGGATGCTGATCCCCCTGGCCAGGCCTTGTCTCCCCCTCAGCCAGTGATGGCAAAAGCCCTGGAGCCGCACCCGGATGGTTTTCTAAGCTATGGGTGTTGGCCGGAGCCAGCAGCATGGAAAATACCCGTCGTGCAAAACAGAGCTGATGTGGGGCAGCAGGTGGGGCTGGGTGTGGAAGCCAGTGTCGGGAGCTTATATAATGTTCTGGAGGCTCAGGGGTTCTTGGGGGCCCAAGCCTAGCTCCCATCACTGACTCTTACTGTGCCTCAGTTTCCTGGTGAACACAGCGTGGAAAGGTTGCACCTCGGCCAGGGCTCTGGGCTTATCACTAGGCAGCTAAGTGGCTCTACAGCTCAATTCTCCATCCCCTTCTCTGCCCCCTGAGCAGCACGGCCCTTGGTACATCCCTCTTCAGCCTGCAGTGCCCTGATCCCTGCCCCATCCCTCCTTCCCATTAGCCCTGCCTAGTTGGTATGGTGCCGGATGCTGATCCCCCTGGCCAGGCCTTGTCTCCCCCTCAGCCAGTGATGGCAAAAGCCCTGGAGCCGCACCCGGATGGTTTTCTAAGCTATGGGTGTTGGCCGGAGCCAGCAGCATGGAAAATACCCGTCGTGCAAAACAGAGCTGATGTGGGGCAGCAGGTGGGGGTGGTTGTGGAAGCCAGTCTCTTGGCCTTCCCATCTGTCTCCCTACATCTGTTTTTAGCTTCTCTTGGGGACGTGGGGGTCCGCTTCTCTCCCTGCTCTGGCTCATGCAGCGCTGCTGTGTAGTTATTAACAGCTCCCTCGTTCCACCCCAGAGGTGGCTGCATTTCAGTGATGGGGGAACTGATGGCTGTGTGGAATCATTGGTGCTTGCAGCTTTTATCCTAGCTAAGTCTTCCTTGGTCCTATAAGTATCTAACCCCTTTTAATTGTATGTCTCTGTGCTATCCTGTTGCAGTGAGTTACCCAGGTGAATTATCCATCATGCCCCAATTTCTCCCCCCCTCCACAGGTGAGCAGAGGGGGAGCTCCTGAACTGCCTGTGGCAGCAGCTGCCTTGACTCCCTCCCCCAACATGTCATGAAAGGGGGAGACCGCTGAGTCAGGTGGCGCCGGCCTGCGTGGGGTGCTCACATCACCATGGCTGTGGCTGATTCACTTTGGCCCAGTCCCTGGGGGGTCAGAGGGAAGTGGGGCCGGAGACAGAGAGAGACTGATGACGGCTTGTCCTGATGACGGCTTGTCCTAAGGGACAGAAACAGGCCCCTGCTGGCAGCCCTGGTCTTTTGCTGCCAGTCGCCAGGCAGCTGTTCTAAGGGGTGGGGTTTGCTGGGCGAGGATCGAGTCTCTGGGAAGAGTGGCCATGGGCACTAATGGGGTCAGAGCCCAACTGGCATGGCCTGGCCTGCATCCCATTGACTTCCCCAGTTTTGCACCCCGGGGGGTGGGTCCCAGCCAGTTCCTAGGGGGCCGTTGTGTCCCGCTGGGAGCAGTGGGGCTGGAAAGATCCTGCCTGGAGCTGTGTCGTCTGTGGACTGTGGGTTAATTCCACAGGCTTGTCCCACAGCGCTAGGCAAGGAGGGGGTTGGGTAACCCTGGGCCGGTCTCCCAGGGACACTGTATGAAGAGAAACTGAGGCCCCTGGGGTGGGGCCTGCTCACGCAGCAGAGCCAGGATTAGAACCCAGGCGTCCTTTGCATCCTACTCTGGCCCCCTAAACTGCGCGGGGCAGGGCAGTCCCACGCTCTTGTCTGTACAGGACCTGACACCACGGGTCCCGCACTGGGTTGGCCTGTCATGTAGACAACAAAAGCCAGTAAGGGGTGGGGTTTGCTGGGCGAGGATCGAGTCTCTGGGAAGAGTGGCCATGGGCACTAATGGGGTCAGAGCCCAACTGGCATGGCCTGGCCTGCATCCCATTGACTTCCCCAGTTTTGCACCCCGGGGGGTGGGTCCCAGCCAGTTCCTAGGGGGCCGTTGTGTCCCGCTGGGAGCAGTGGGGCTGGAAAGATCCTGCCTGGAGCTGTGTCGTCTGTGGACTGTGGGTTAATTCCACAGGCTTGTCCCACAGCGCTAGGCAAGGAGGGGGTTGGGTAACCCTGGGCCAGCCTCCCAGGGACAGTGTATGAAGAGAAACTGAGGCCCCTGGGGTGGGGCCTGCTCACGCAGCAGAGCCAGGATTAGAACCCAGGCGTCCTTTGCATCCTACTCTGGCCCCCTAAACTGCGCGGGGCAGGGCAGTCCCACGCTCTTGTCTGTACAGGACCTGACACCACGGGTCCCGCACTGGGTTGGCCTGTCATGTAGACAACAAAAGCCAGCCCGCTGGACTGCAGGCCTGAAGCTGAACTTGGCCCACTTGTGGAAGGGGTTAACTGTCCCCCTCCCCTCGCCCCAGGGGCTCTGGCCTGCGGTTGCAACATGGTTTAGTTTGGAATGAGTCATCTGTGTTCAAGGTTTATAAACTTGGGAAAGAGGGAGGGAGGACTGGAGAGCAGGGCCGCCGGGAATCCGGACCGGCGGATAGGAGGGGACGAGGGGCCAGGCCCAGAAAGACGGTTTCCAGGGGCTCGGAGGAGCAGCTAGCGCCCCCCCTTAGAAACCACCACGGGCTGCTGCTGCTGGGGGCTCCAGTGAGGATGACAGGGCTGGAGCTGCTCTGCCAGGTCTGCACCCTTGCCTTCTTCGCCAGCGCTGCTGCCAGCCGCCCCTCGGAGGAACAGGAAGCTGTGGTGAGTCGGAGCTGGGTCCCAGGCCCCAAAGGAACACCGGCTCCAGAGGCCCAACTGGGATGGGGCTATGGGGAGCCAGGGACAGGCGGGCTAGTTTGCTGATCGAAGTGAGGGGGAAGTGCTGAGAAACCAGCCAAAGGCAGCTCTGCCGGTGCCCCCCATGGTCCCCTGCTATCCCAGCCCAGGGCTGCTCCCCAGCTTTGCTGGTGCCCCTCGCTCCTGATCCCCTGGTATCCCAGAGCTGGAGATGGGGGCTGCTCACAGCGACCTGGTTCTGACCATCCGCTAGGGTTCCCCTTCCGCTGTTCCCCGTCCAGCCCTGAGACCCATTTCAGTCTGTGCTGGGGAGAGGAGTGATCTGCCAAAGCAGGTCCTTGCCCGTGGGCCAGGGGCCTGGGAGCACAGCTGGTCTGTGGCCATGGCAGTGAAACCCTGCTGGACACCGGTTTCTCCCCAGCCCGGGGTGTCCATCTGCCCCGTGCACCCACGTGGCAGAGGGAGGCTGGCAGCCCTGGGAAAGGGGCCGCTGTGCCGAGCCGGCCGTGGGGATTTCCTGTCCGCTCATTCGCCCAGCTCTGTTGGCCACGCAGGGTGCCTGGGCTGTATCCCTGGGGGGAGGCAGGACTCCTGTGTTCTGGCAGGGAAGTGAGGTGTAGTGGCTAGAGCAGGAAGGCCTGGGAGCCAGGTTGGTGGGGTTCTGTCTTTGACTCCGTCTGCGAGCTTAGGTAAATCTCGTCCCCTCTGCCTCAGTGTCCCCACCTGTAAAATGGAGGCGGGACAACATTTTGAGCGCCTCAAAGCTTTATGGGTAATGCCAGCCCCTACGTGCCCAGCGAGAGCTCCCGCAGCTTCTCTCGTGCCAGGCCCGCTGGCGGTGCCGTACCTGTCTGGGCAGGGCCGTGTTTCCCACCTGCATAGCGATGCCTGGTGTCCCTGGGCGACCAGCGTGGGGGGGGAGCTGGCCGTTTCCCGCTGACCCCCCATTTTGAGCGCCTCAAAGCTTTATGGGTAATGCCAGCCCCTACGTGCCCAGCGAGAGCTCCCGCAGCTTCTCTCGTGCCAGGCCCGCTGGCGGTGCCGTACCTGTCTGGGCAGGGCCGTGTTTCCCACCTGCATAGCGATGCCTGGTGTCCCTGGGCGACCAGCGTGGGGGGGGAGCTGGCCGTTTCCCGCTGACCCCCGTCCCTTCAACCCCAGCGTTACCTGCTGCAGTTCGGGTACTTGCAGAAACCGCTGGAGAGGCTGACAGATGATTTCACCAACGCCGAGGTAGCAGCGGCCATGAGGTAACACGGGCGCCAGGTGCCCTGTGAGGGGCGGAGGCCGGGCTGGGCACATGGGCACAGCTAGGGCGTGGCTGGTGGTCAGAGACCAGGGCAGGGCTGTGTGCTGTGCCATGCATGTCGGCCAGGCGGTCGCACCGGGTGGACTTGGCTGCGCCAGACCCAGACGTCCCCCGTGTCCCCAGCCTGCGCCATGGGGGATCCTCTCTCGTCAAGGCTGCATGTGGGAATCCCCCTGTGAACCCACCATCTGTGCCACCCCCTCACCCCCCCGCCCAGGTCCTTCCAGCTGGCCTCCGAGCTGCCCCCCACCGGCCTCCGGGACGCCGCCACGCTGGAGAAGATGAGGCAGCCGCGCTGCGGAGTCGAGGATCCCTTCAACCAGAAAACCCTCAAGTACCTGCTCCTGGGTGAGTCGAGCGAGGGGCTCAGGGTCCGGAGCTGGGCAGGCGTTAGGGGGTCGCACTGGGGTGAAGGGTTATGGAGCAGGCTCAGGTCAGGATTATGGGGCTAGGCCCCTAGCAGAGGTCAGTGACGGGAGCACGTCAGGGTGTCCCTTGTACCCCAAATGCCAGGGCAATGCAGGGCTGGCACGCTCCTGCCGCTGGGGGGGCTGGGTCCTGGTGTTCCCTGTGGCCTCGGAAGGGGCTGGTGGCCCCTTCCCCCTCCCCGAGTGGCACAGCCACTCTCCTCCCTCTGTCCCCCAGGCCACTGGCGCAGGAAGAACCTCACCTACCGGATCTACCGCTACGCGCCCGACATGGCGGCCAGCGCCGCCCGCAGGGCCATCCAGGCCGCCTTCAAGTACTGGAGCGACGTGGCCCCGCTGAGCTTCCGGGAGGTGCAGCACGGCCCAGCCGACATCCGCATCTCCTTCCACGGCGCCTACTCCTGGATCTGCTCCCGCCCCTTCGACGGGCCCGGTAGGTGCAGCTGCCCGGGTGCAGGAGATGGGGAAAGGCATCCCAGCCAAGCAAGGCCTCCAGCTCCCGGGCACCGTGTTGAGTGTCCAATGGGGAGCTCCCGCTGGCAGGCCGTGCTGCTGGGGCAGGGAACAGCGGGAGGGGGGGAGCTCAGTCAGGCTGGGGGGCGCCCCTCATTGTGTGCCCGCCCCGTCTCTGGGCGCAGGGAAGGTGCTGGCTCACGCCGACATCCCCAAGGAAGGCACGGTGCACTTCGATGAGGACGAGCTGTGGACGGAGGGAAGCTTCCGTGGCGTCAACCTGCGCATCGTCGCGGCCCACGAGATCGGCCACGCCCTGGGCCTGGGCCACTCCCGCCACCCTGCCGCCCTCATGGCCCCCGTCTACGGCGGCTACCGGCCCCACTTCCGCCTCCACTTCGACGACATCAACGGCATCCAGGCCCTGTATGGTGAGGGCTGTTGGGGCTGGTGTGACAGGGTCTCCCCTTCAGAGCCCTGGTGGGCTGGGCCCTCCTCTTCCCCCACCCCACATCCGCCCCACCCCCTCCTGTATTTCACAGGGGGACCCTACGCCACCCCTGCCATTTCCTGCCCCATATGTCTCCCTGGCTCTGGGTCCTCCTCCCCTTCCCCACCCCCGTGCCCTCCTCCATCCCTAGCCTGGTCTATAGCAGGGCCAGAATAATCCCCATCTGGGGCTACTTTAGGCAAAAAGACTCTGCCAGCGACGCCGGCCGGGACCCTGCCAGGCCTGCAGCCCACCTCCCCCAGCCTTCCGCCGGCCAAGGTGCCTGACCCCTGCACCGACAGCTTGGACGCCCTGATGTTCGGTGAGCTGGCTCTGGCTTTCTGTGTGGCATTTCCCAGGGGCACTGAAAGAGAAGGAAATGAAGCCCCTTGAATTCTCTGGGGTTGATGTCTGGGGCGGGGGTGGATGCCGGGCACTAGGAGAAGCCTGCGAACGGCCGGGGGTGGGAGAGAGCTAAGCAGCCAACGGGCATCGCGAATGGGCCACTCACTGTGCTGCTGCCCACAGCCCCAGTGGAGCTGAAGCCTTTGTGGGGAGGGGGGGGTGTTGGGGTCACGTGGACGAGCGGTACCGTGATGGGAACGGGGCCGACCAAACCATCAGCCTCTCCCCCTCTTTGCTAATTACCCATCTTCCCCAGTGCCGCATCTCTGGTTCTGCGGCCAGCACCCAGCGTGGTCTTAGACCAGGTCTTGAGCCCTGTGCAAACACCCTGCAGCGTTCGCCAGCCCTGGCCCGGGAGAGAAACCCCAAGCACAAGCCAGCCTGGCCTAGGTCCCTTTTGCAGCAGGGCCTGGCCCGTGGCCCCGATTTCTCTGTGTGGGCCCGTGGGATGCTGGAATTGATTTTAGTCGTGCCCCACCTCTGCATAAACATGAGCACGCGGCCATCGCTCCAGCTGCCCCTCTTCCCCCAAGCTGAGCCCCCAGCTCCCCACATCCATCCCCCACCCCCATGAGGCGTTAACTCTTTGCTCCCCTCTGCCTCCCAGGCCCTTACGAGCAGACCTACGCCTTCAGCGGGGGCTATGTCTGGACCGTGACAGATTCTGGGCCCAGGCCCCTGAAGGAGATCTCATCCCTGTGGAAGGGGCTCCCAGCCCAGCTGGATGCGGCCGTGCACTCTCCCCGCACCAAGAGGAGCTACTTCTTCAAAGGTGGGGGGAGGCCAAAGGGGAAGGGCTGAGAGGGGAGTGGGGGATGTTAGAGCAAATGGAGGCTGGAGGGCTGCGTATGGGCGGGGGCTCCTGGCCACCACTTTGGGTGTTGCTGAGTCCCTGCCCTTCTTGCGCCTCAGGTGACAAGGTCTGGAGGTACCACGGCTTCCAGCTGGATGCTGGCTACCCCAAGCCCCTGACCCGCATCTCCGCCAAGATCGACGCGGCCTTCTACTGGCCAGTGAACAAGAAGATCTTCCTCTTCAAGGTAGCCACCAGGGCTTGGGTCCTGCTGCTCTCACAAAAGGTCCCCGACCTGGGCACCCCCCAGTGCAGGTGGCCTTGGGGCACCCCCCCCTTGCCCAACTAGCCCCTAGGGGCAGGGAACTTTTGGGACCCGCCCCTCAGCTTGTCGTCATGGCACCCAGCAGCCTATCCTAAACTCTGGTTGGCTGGCAAAGATTCCAACAGGGAGGGTGTAAATACTCAGCCAATGACAACGCAGCCCTGCCTCACGGGCTATAGAAGCCAGCCCGGGCCAGAACATTCTGGGAAATGTAGTTTGCATCCTCCAGGGCCCTGGAACCATGTGACCATTTCAGGGCCTGGCCCCAAGACCTCCCCTCTCAGCATCCTGCTATGGGCCAGGTGCATTCTGGGAGAATCCTCCAGGTGCATTGATGGACCTTGTCTTACAGCCATCAGCCAGCACTGCCTGGCAGGACCAGGGCTGGTACCCAGCGTGAGGGAGGGGACTTGGCTCTGCAGAGCCAAGCCTCCGCTATGCTTTGCCTCCCCCCACAGGGCACCGGCTACTGGCAGTGGGACGAGCTGGGCTGGAACAACCTCAGCTCCTACCCCAAGAAGATTTCCATGCTGTTCTCCGGGGTGCCCTCCCACCTGGATGCTGCTGTGGCCTGGGAGAATGGCCGGGTCTATTTCTTCAAGGGGGGGCAGTACTGGCGAGTCAACGCGCAGCTGCGGGTGGAGAAGGGCTACCCACTGAGCACAACCGAGCGCTGGATGCACTGCGAGGCCTAGGTGCCCCCGCGGGACAGGGCCGGCCTGGATGCACCTGCATTAGGGCCGGTGGCGATGGAGGGGGCAGCGGGGTTTAATCGGCCAGAGAAGCCACCTGCAGGCGGTTGGCATGAAGGGCACAGGGAGAGGACAGTGAGGGGTTGGGGAGGGGGAATGGGTGTTTGTACTCCTGGGAGGCCTGCTCCCGCCCCACACAATAAACCCCAGCCCCTGAACATGG